CTTTTCCTTTAAGAGTTGGACATATTGGGGCAAAATCCTCTCATTTTCATAATTATTAAGCAGATGACAGTGCATCTTGTTCACCTATAACATTAACATAAACATACTTAGGTATTTGTTGTTGTTATTGTTAAAGATTTTATTTATTTATTTGAGAAAGAAAGAGAGACCACAGTTGGGAGGAGAGGGAGAAGCAGACTCCCCACTGAGTAGAGAGCATGATATAGGACTCGATCCCAGGACCCTCGGATCACGACCCAAGCCGAAGGAAGATGCTTAACCAACTGAGCCACCCATGCATCACTCATTGTTGTTGTTTTTAAAAAGAGATAGTATTAGCACTGTGGTTGAGGGTTCTGGTGCCCATCAGGTTGCAGTTGATTACCTACTCTTTTATTAATCATACGATCTCATGCATTTACTTCACTCCATATCCCTCAGTTTCTCCAGCTATGAAGTGCAAATCATAATTAGGCTTGCCAGGAGAATTAAATGAATTAATGCATGTAGCACATGTTGAACAGTGCCTGACACAAAGTAATATTCAGTAAATATTGGCTATTATTCTTACCAATTACAGTTGGATATACAAACTATTAAATGTAGTGTTCTTGCTACCCTGTATTAATTTAACTTGAGTGTATAGGACTGAAAAGTAAATATGGTAATGTATTTCTTGAGGCCAAAAGTCAAGGATGAAATGACATTTGGATGCTGAAAGGAACATTAGGTCTGGTTGAGTCACATATAACGTCTTTTTTCAAATGAATTAATTCTTTTTAATCGTAACATTATCTAAACTAAAATTTGAATATTGATGTTGAAATATGTCTCACAAAGTGTTCATAACAAAGTGCTATATTTAGAATGAATTAACAAGAATGCATTTTTTTCCAATTTTTTATTTAAATTCTAATTAGTTAACATATAATGTAATAGTAGTTTCGGGAGTAGAATTTAATGACTCATCACTTATATATAACACTCTGTTTATCACAAGTACCCTCCTTAATATCGGTTACCCATTTAACCCATCCGCCTACCTTCCCTCAGTAACCCTCAGTTTGCTCTTTATAGTCGAGAGTTCATTTTATGGTTTGCCTTTCTCTTTTTTCCCCCGTGCTCATCTGTTTCATTTCAAACTCTACATGTCAGTGAAATCATATGGTATTTGTCTTTCTCTGACTGACTAATTTTGCTTATCATAATGCACTCTTAACTCCATTTCATTGCAAATGGCAAGATTTCATTCTTTGTGATGGCTAAGTAATATTCCTGTGTGTGTGTGTGTGTGTGCGTGCACACGCATGCACACATGCATCTTCTGTATCCGTTCATTAGTTGATGGACAGTTGGGCTCTTTCCAGATTCCAGAGTTTGGCTATTGTTGATAATGCTGCTATAAACATTGGGGTGCATGTGCCCCTTTGACTCAGTATTTTTTTTAAAGATTTTATTTATTTATTTGACAGAGATCACAAGAAGGCAGAGAGGCAGGCAGGGGTGGGGTGGGAAGCAGGCTCCCTGCTGAACAGAGAGCCAAATGTGGGGCTTGATCCCAGGACCCCTAGATTATGACCTGAGCCAAAGGCAGAGGCATAACCCACTGAGCCACCCAGGTGCCCTTGACTCAGTATTTTTGTATTCTTTGAGCAAATACCTGGTAGTGCAATTGCTAGGTCTTAGGGTAGTTCTCTTTTTAACTTTTTGAAGAACCTCCATACTGTTTTCCAGAATGGCTTCTTCCAGTTGAAGAATGCATTTTTTTTTAAAGTTACTTAAATAAAGATAGATACACTAGGCAGATCCCTCTCTCTGTCTTATGGTTGCATAGGTGACAGAGGGGGGCAGAATTAAGTAAAGCTTTTTCAAGTGTAGCAAAGGAAGATTACCAACTTTGTTCTAAAAGTTTGGAACCCTCTTTTATCATTAGGCCTTAGAAATTAAGTATCACAATTGTGAGAGTTCACAGCAAAATACTGAAGCTTGCTTTTAGCATTCACAAAAATCTGATGAACTATATTTTGCTGGTTTGGACCACTAATACTTCTATTAGTGGGCTCTCTGGATGTTCACCTACCAGCAAATGAAGAGGAAAATGCAGTCATTACTGCAGATATGGTAATTGTAATTCCAGAAAAGAAACTGAAAATTATAGGACTTTCTTTCTAGACTGCACCAGCGTTCTTTAACAAGCTCTTCACCATGCAAATGAACAATGGAGTCCCACACAGAAACATCTGTTAACTATGTAAACTATTAAAGGGATTAACGGTGCTAGAGGCTGAAATGTAATCAGGTGAAATAGTGATAAGATAAAATATTTGCTCATGAAATTGCAGTTATAATTCATTTTTAATACTGCTTTGGTAACTGAGTTTAGAATACTAGTGAAATGATGTTAAACTCTTTAAAATACGTCCTTGTGTTTTGCAAGGTGTAGAAAATTAGAGACATACAAGATGGGGTGTTATTTTACCTTACTTGATTTTGAAATAGTTTCTGATATTTTAATAGATGTAATTGTATACAATTTGGGTGTCTTTTACTCTACTGAAGAGGCTATAGAAAGATATATGTAATTTTCAACTATGGAAAATGAAGTTCAGCAGCCAAATTCCTGTTTATTAAGTTTGTCATCATATAACGTGAAAACAGAGTATGGAATAGGAATGTTCAACATTGGGTTTTTCTGCTTTGACCCTGGAAATAGTGAGAAGAAAGATCTGTGGAAAAATGAGTACAAAGGTTTTGCTATATTCTGGTTTGAACATGAAACTGAGCTAATGTGTATTATGGACCATTCATAAAAACACTCCTTAGTTTACTGAATGGATTTATGAATACTCTTGTCAGGGATGTGTGTGTGTATGTGTGCACATTTATGGGTTTGCTTGTATTTATGTGTGGGCTTTAAATAAATAATTCTAGAAGTGTACCTTCATTTAGCCTGCAGGGGTTTGTAATGATTACATTATGCATATTGATTTCTAAATCCAAGTACATAATAAGCTAAGATTCATCTTTGAATGTATTGTCTATAGAATATTCATTCAAGACATAGTAATGTTTTCTGCATATTCTGTAATGTTTGTAAGAAATGGAAACCATTTTGAGTATAGAATTATAATTTTGAAGATTGTATTTGCACACATTTTTTACTTTGATTTTTTCCACACCGCCTAGTACCACCCAACAAATTGACACTTGCACCATAGCTAATGTCCTTCTTTCACTATTACCCACTAACAAAAAAATCATATAAACAGATTATGATTATGTGTGTGTCAACATGTCTATTTTTATTTATTTTTTAAAAGATTTTATTTATTTATTTATTTATTTGAGACCGAGACCGTGAGAGAGAACATGAGAGAGGAGAAGAGCAGAGGGAGAGTCCCAATGGTGGGACTCAATTCCGGTACTCCGGGATCATGACAAGCCAAAGGCAGTCACTCAACCAACTGAGCCACCCAGGCACCCAACAACTCTATTTTTAATTTGTTTTTAAAAGTTGAAATGACAGTTTTATCAAGTCTTTTTAATATATTTTTAAGCTAGCCAAAGATATTAGAAATAATCTTAAAATCATTAGATATCAAATCAGTGTGATCTGTCACTTTTCTGGGGTCAGGAAATCCTATTAATACATTTAGAGAAGAAATGTATAAAAGCCATATAACCTGTTATCCTGAATATTAGGTGTGCATACATTCAAATATATTTTAATGAAAACATTTAGTGCTATAGAATTAAGAAATATACTTACAGAGAGACTAACTTCCTCAAAGATCTTAGGATACAATTTTGTTTATTTTTTAAAGATATTTATTTATTTATTTATTTATTTATTTATTTATTTTATTGTGAGAGTGGGAGAGAGAGAGTGAGAGAAAGGGAACATAAGCAGGGGGAGCAGCAGGCAGAGGGAGAAGCAGGCTCCCCGCTGATCAGGGTGCCTGATACGAGACTCGATCTCAACCTGAGCCAAAGGCAGGTTCTTCATTGATTGAGCCACCCAGGTTACCAGGATATAATTTTAAAGAAGAGATCTGCTTTGTGGAAAATCAAAGGATTGTAGAAGTAAAAGATTATAAAAAGAAAACCTTTAAGTGAGAAAGTTATTTTATATCATTTCAATATCATTCCTCTCACAGTTATCTGAAAAATCAATTTAGTGCCTTTTATACAAAAGAAAGCCTGAATATTAGATGGCTAGAGTTGGTCAAGACATTATGGGGAAAATAATGACGAAAAGAACACCAAATGTTTATGTTTAAATTTTAGAATTATCTTTTCATACACATACACAATTATGAAGAGGGAAAGTTTACAAGAAACTTTATTTTATAGGGCATGTGAGGCTTAAAGTGCAAAATCTGGAAGAATATTGACAGAAACAATGCTTGAGGTAACAAATGGATTTAGAAATGTGTTTGGCATAAGCAGAAATAAACTTTCAATATTCCTATCTGATGTCAAAATAACCTGTGTGGCTGATGCTTTCTTAAAAGCGTGAGAGGGAGGTGGAGAACTAAAAAAGGACCCTGCTTTAATTAGGAGCAACCATCAAGAAAAGGCAGCCGGTTAAAACGAAAAGCGAAGTACAGAATGTTACTTGTTTAAATATTACAGTATCATGAGGATGTTTAAGCAAGATGACTGGTGCATTTAGTGTCCCTAGGAAAATCTAAGACTTTTCAAAGGAAAGCAGAAAAATACATCTGATCAGTATAGGCTTTGTATACGGCTTTATTGCCACTTGTTCTCAGTCTAAAGGAGAGGGTCTCCATATTTTTATTTCTTGTATGAATTGATCTTTGACTCACTCTGTGCCAGCCTGTAAAGTTAATGCATTCTTTTTTTTAATTATTTATTTATCTTACTCTTGCAGAGTGACATTTCACTTTTTCATGTTTTAGCTAAATAAGCCACATAAGCAATTAAAAAAAAATTCACTGAATTTTAAACATTTTTTTTCCCTTTGCTTTCTCTTTCAGGAAGTTGATGGCAATAAAGTTATGTCTTCATTTGCCCCACACAACTCATCTACCTCACCTCAGAAGGCAGAAGAAGGTGGGAGGCAGAGTGGTGAGTCCTTGTCAAGCACGGCCCTAGGAACTCCCGAACGGCGCAAAGGCAGCTTAGCTGACGTTGTTGACACCTTGAAGCAGAGGAAAATGGAAGAGCTCATCAAAAATGAGCCAGAAGGTAAAGCCTAGAAAAGGAAACAAAGTGGTTGCCATCTCCTGACTTTAACAGTTGGAATTTAACTTCTAGATCTGTTTTTTGACTTATACTCAAAGTTAAATTGGACAACATGGAAACCTAATGTTATGAAGATGGATAGATTTTTTTTTTCCCCAGAAACATTCCAATGTCTGTCCCGATTTTTTTTAAATCATTATTTTCTGTTGTGATGTCTTCCTCATTTTCACACATGGGTAAGTTGTGGTTGAGTAAAACTTAAAGATTCAAGAATAGATGTGACAGCAGAGCCCAGAATAGGTACCACCTACGTCCCAAATATCTGCAGGCTTGTGTGTTCAACTCCAGTTTTTGTCCCCAAGGCCATTTTACAACTTTATTAAATTTTATGACCTTACTTATACATGAATGCATCATAATGCTACCTTAGTTTCGTCTGTTTCTTGTATAGTCCAAAATTAACATGGTTAGGCCTGCTCTATATTTAAAAATTATTGATTCTTTAATTCTGTTAGCCATGCTGAAGTTCCCATTTTGTTTAACTTCCAGGATGCCTTTCTTTTTAAGATTTCATCTTCTAAATTACTTCAGCAGTTACTGATAGTAGCCTATAGGTGATCTGCACATGATATACGTTAAAATTAAAGCAAACAAACTGGGGCCCCTGGGTGGCTCAGTTGGTTAAGCATCTGCTTTGGGCTCAGATCATGATCTCAGGGTCCTGGATCCAGCCCCACACAGGACTCTCTGCTCACCAGGGAATCATCTTCTCCATCTCCCTCTGTGTTCTCTCTCTCTCTCTCAAATAAATAAATAAAAATATTAAAAATAAATAAATAAGGCAAACAAACAACTGATGCCTATTATAGAATTTATGCATAAGTGATAGTCACCCTTTATGTTACGGATGTTTCCTACCACCTACTTAAACCCGTGTTCTTCCTAAGTTTGTGTGCCACATTGCACATAAGAACATGCCTCCTATTTAAAAGTCAGATGGAAAATTTAAAACAAACAAACAAAAAATAGTGACATAAAAAGACATATTTTATACCAAAAATATACTGCATCTATACTATCTAACACTGGGTTGGGCCCATTTCTAGTCTGTTGTTAGGACACTAGCAAATTATGAGTATATATGGCACAAAATGTATGTTAACCAGTATATTTGGGAGTCATATGGTAATTAAATATTTCTGGGTCCCTACCAGATGCATAGCTGGGACATGGATTTTAGTTATAATTTATGTAATTCACATGATCTTACAGTTGGAAAGAATTTTAGAGATAATCTAGTCAGCCAAAGACTTTTGGCTTTCATCCACGTGGAGATAAAAATGGGGTTTTGAGGAGGACCTAGACAATTTTTTTAATGTGCTGGAATTTTTCTTGATATTAAAAATACTATCTTCTTATTTAAGAAGTGTTTTAAAAAATCATAAAAATTGAAAGGAAAATCAAAATTGCTTAATTTTATAGCTTTCTGATATAACAACTCTTTTTCTTAAATTAATTTCTTTTTTCAGTGTCCCAAAATTCATTGTTTATCCACCACACCCAGTGCTCCATGCAATACGTACCCTCCTTAATACCCACCCAACACCCCACCCAATACCCCAACAGCCCAACACCCCACTTCCTCCCATCCAAAACCCTCAGTTTGTTTTTCAGAATTCACAGTCTCTCGTGGTTTGTCTCCCCCTCCGATTTCCCCCAGCTCACGTCTCCTCTCCTCCCCGCAATGTCTTCCGTGTTATTCCTTATGCTGCACAAGTAAATGAAACCATATGATATAACAACTCTTAACCTTATGATGCATTTCTTTCTTATCTTTAATTTTACATATTCTTTTCATTTTGCATGATCAATTTTATGCTTTTAAAATTATTTTGTGTCTTTTATATTGTCATACATTATCATTAACTAAAGTCCACAGTTTATTCAAAGTTCATGAGTCTTCACCAAGTGTGCTTTTTCTGTTCTAGAATGCCCTCAAGGATAACATGTTACATTTAATTGTCATGTCTCCTTGGGTTCCCTTTAGCTGTGACAGATTCTCAGACTGCTTTTGTTTCTGATAGCCTTGGAAGTTTTGAGGAATACTGTTCAGGCATATTGTAGAATGTCCCTCTATTGGGATTTATTTTATTTTATTTTATTTTTTTAGTGATTTTTTAGTGTTCCAAAATTCGTTATTTATGCACCACACCCAGTGCTCCATGCGATACATTTTCTATTGGGATTTATCTGGTGGTTTTCTCTTGACTAAACTGGGGTTATAGGTTTGGGGAGGAAGATAATTAGGTAAAATGCCTTTCTGTCACATCATATCAAAGGTACCTACACTCTATATGATTTACGAATTTGATGTTGACCTTGATCATCTGGCTGGTACAGTGTTTGTCAGGGTACTGCACTATACAGTTATTTCCTGCCCCCTTTCCATACCACAATCTTTGGAAGGAAGATGCTATGTGCAACCCACATTTAAGGAGAAGGGAGTCATGTTCCCCCTCCTTCAGAGCAGAGTTTCTACATAATTTATTTGGAATTCTTCTGCATGGGAGATTTATCTCTTCTCCATCATTTATTAATTTATTCAATCATTTATTTATATCAGTATGGATAGCATGAGTATTTTATACTTTGACTTATAATCCAATTCGACTTTATTTTGTTGCTCAAATTGTTTCAGCTTTGGACATTGGAAGCTCTTTCTATTGACTTCTGTGTCATTTTGATATACCACTGTGATTGTAGGTAATTTTTTTCTGGAGCCCTTCCCACTTTCTTGCACTGTAAGGTGCTTCAGACTCATGTTGTGTATCTCATGCTCCGGTTCAAGAATCAGTCATTTCTCTAGGAAACCCTGGTTCCTTTTTTTGGAGAATGGTATTAGAAAGCCAGATCTGGATACAGGGTGTGCTCTTTACTCATCAGGCTTCATTTCTTTATGGCCTCTTACCTGACAAAACGAAGAAATAGATGTGTGTGCTAACCCATATATATATATATATATATATATATATATATATATATATATATATATATCTGTAAATATTTCCATGTTGAATTGTCTATATATTAATGTAAACATGAGTTCTTACTACTGTCCGCAACTGTAGTCCCTCCCATGGATCATTCCCCCCTCATTCCTTATTGATGAGCACATTCCCACCCCAACTGTGAGTAATCTAGATCGAACCATCGCCATCCATTGACTTACTGTTCAGTTCCGGCACGTATGTTTAACAGTATCAGATTTACTAACTGATATTAACAGTATTAGATTTACTAACCATGGGGAACATGTTTACCAATAGGGTATAGTACTTACGTACAATTCTTTTTGCCTTTAGTTTTACAGATTCATTTCCAAAACGATTTAGTACATTTTCCTCCACCTTATTCAGTGAAGTTCTCCCATACATTTGTAAGATGATTAAATTTTTTCTGTAATTTTTGCTGGTATCTCTCAAATTACTGAATTACCTTATAGAATCCTCTTACATCAGGATTCAAACTTTCTGTTGTACATTTCTACATTTTTTTGGACAAATGCGTATTGCCACTTATCCACCGTGGCCGTCATTCAGAACAGTTGTTTGGTAACCTTAAAAATCTCCTGTGCTTCATTTATTCATCTCTCCCTCTTGCCCTCGAATTCCAGGCAATTGTTGAACTTTCTACTATCTCTGTAGTTTTGCCTTTTCCAGAATGCCGTATCAATGGAATCATACCGTCTGTAGTCTTTCAAACTGGCTTCCTTAACATATCAATGTGTATTTAAGTTTCCTTCATGTCTGTTCCTGGCTCATTTCTTTTTAGTACTGAATAAAACTCCACTGTATGAAGGTATCACGGTCTGTTTATCCATTCACCTATCAAAGGACATCTTAGTTGTTTCACATTTTTGGTTATTAAGAATAAAGCTTTTATAAATATTTATGTGACGGTTTTTGTATAGACGTAAGTTTCTAACTCAACTGAGTAAATACCTAGGAGTGTGATTGCTGAAAGGTATGGTAAGAGTGTGCTTCGCTTTATAAAAACAAAACAAAAAACAAACAAACCAAAAAAACCTGCCAAACTGCCTTCCAAAGTGGCTGTGAGATTTCGCATTCCCAGCAGCAAGGAATGTGAGTCCTTGTTGCTGCATAGCTTCACCAGCATTTGATATTGTAAGTTTTTTGGAATTTATCTATTCACATTGGTTTGTAGTGGCATCCCATTGTTGTTTTAATTTGTAGTTCCTGATGACATATAACGTGGAGCATTTTCCTTATGTGATCCTTGGCCTTTGTATATCTACTTTGTGCCTGTTTACATCATTTGCTCATTTATGAATTGAGGATTTTTTTAATTCTTGAGTTTTAAGAGTTTTTTTGCGTATTTTGAATGCAAGTCCTTTATCAGGTATGGGCTTTGCAAATATTCTCTTTCAAGTTGTGACTTTTTTTTTTTCTTTTAACATTTTCTTTTGCAGAGCAGAAGTTTTCATTTTAATAAAGTCCAACTTACCTCTTTTCTTGCATTGATCATACTTTTGATGTTGTAGCTAAATACACACTGCCTCGCCCAATGCCCTTTAGATTTTCTCTGCTGTTATTTTCTAGAAGTTGTATAGTTTTGCATTCTACAGTTGAGGTCTATGATCTGTTTTGAGTTAATTTTTGTAAAGGTTTAAGTTCTGTGTCTGATTTGTGTTTTTGCAGATAGATGTCCGGTTGTTCCAGCACCCGTTGTTGAAAGGACTATCATCTCTCCATTGAATTTCCTTTCTTCCTTCATCAAAGACTAGTTGATTGTACTTGTGTGGGTCTGTTTCCGTCCTTTATATTCCCCTCCATTGATCAGTTGGTCTATGCTTGTGCCAACACCTTGATGTCTTAATTGCTATCACTTGAAGTTGGGTGGTGTCAGTCCTCCTACTTTATACTTTTACTGCAGTGTTATGTTGGTTACCCTGGCTCTTTTGCCTCTCCCTGTAGACTTCAGAG